TGTGCTATCAAATAGCTATAAAAGACAATAAGAGACATATAAAAGATTTTCCAAACTCTCGAATCACAATGAAGTCTTGTCACATGTCCAAATTTTTTTAACATCATAATGTATGTACCTGAAATTGATTAAACAAAAGTGAAATTAAATAAACAAATGACATACAAAGTTCATCAATAATTAATAAAACAACTATGTAACATTGGCATACTCATGATAGCATATCAAGGAATTGCTACAATAAAATTCAATCAAAACTAATTGCACAAAATATTTGTTGTCTGAAACATACGCTAAAATTTTGCGATAATGTCTTTTCCTCAAAAATATATTTATACCGGAAGATCTCAACGACTGAGTAGCATAGGCTCAAAATTAACTTTATGCTAATCTTCATATGGTAATTTTACGCCTTTTTGAACTAGCTGGATTATCATTGAATGGTTTTTATTCTGTAATTGAATTAATCTGTTCATTCTCAGCAGAAAATTAGGAGGAGGACTAAAACTCTAGATATTTCATAATGTCAATAATTAATGTGACAGTTAAGGAGACGTTAGATTTGAAAAGTCAAAATTACATAATTTCATTAACACTCTGTTTGGATCATTGCTTCTCGTCGTTTTATAATGTATCGTATTGTATTGTATCGTATTGTATTGTATTGTTTTATGAATACAATGTTTGGATAGATTGTATTGTTTGTTATTGTTAAATAATATTTTGCTGTTTGGTTTGACTGTATCGTACTGTACTGTAACTGATAAGTTTACTAAAATATCCTCAATTATTTAAATATTAAATTTATCAAAAATTATGCATAAAAATAATTTTAAAAAATGAAACAAAGGAGACAAAACAACTTAAGAAAGCAGAACAAAGGAGCGAGACAGAAGAAGGCAAAACAAAGGAGCACAGCTAATTAGAATTGAGTTAAAAGTAAATTAGGAGAAAAAATAAAACAGAAGGCGGCAAAACATCTTTAACGTTGGCGATAGAAATTTGCAAAAAAATAAAGTAGGTTATAGGTTTGAGATTTGGAGTTAAAATAGAAAAAAAGGTAAAGGTTAAAATAGAATTGTGGAGTAATAAATTAGGGCATAATTGGAAAGAAAAATCGGAAACAATCCCACCACACCAAATCGGTTGTTTCAAAAAAGGGGACTTTTCATTGTTCCGGAACAATGGATTTAACAATACAATACAATCAATTTTAATGAAACAATCAAAACAAACATTATTTTGGAATAACAATACAATACGATACAACGGGGAACAACTATCCAAACAAGCTGTAAATATCAGGGTTTGATAACACGATGAAGAAATCTCTAAGTCATAGTCACATATATAACATCATTAAAAAGAAATGTAAACATACCTGCCATAGTTTGGCTTCTACTGCTTCAATTGATGCAACTCCTTTTTATATCTTGTGCTAGCTTCTCGACATGTCCACACATGAAGTTGTAACTGCATAGATTTATATTTTTTACTATTAGCTCGGAACTGATAAACATAAATGGATTTGACACCATCCCCACATGTAGAAATAATTATAAGATTCATAAGACATCACAGTATATCAGATATGCATTTTGGAGATAAGAAAATTTGACATTAAATTGAATAAGAGTCACAGATCACATTGAAATAGTTGCATACCATCCAATTACATAGCACCAAATACACTAAGGATGAGAAACAAGCATTAAAATTCACTTCACAAACGCTTCAAGAAAAGAAATAGGATAAAAGATGGCACAAACCAGAAAGCACTCTGTTGACACAATTCACCCAATGAAGGATTCTTGAATCATGTCTTGAGAATTTGTTGTGGAACTTTTATCACTAATTGAAATGTAAAAGAAAGGCCACGATGTTCAGGCCTTAAATCTATATGATAGTTGTTATTGATCAGCATAACCATTTACAAAGATAATATACCAACTCCATCCTGCATTTTCATGTTAAAATTTTAATTTGAAAAATGACATCTTCAGAAAGGATAAAGAATACCTATGAGACTATCATAAGGAAAAAGTTTATGAAACTAGCTTTTATACTTCATCCTGATATGATCAAGGGACTGAAGGATCAAATGAACAAGTTTCATAAGCATGGAGCTTAATATCTAATAAGAACAAGAAATCAACATCTATTTGATCCAAATTAAATATAATCCTACTAGCCTATTTTCATAAGATGATTAGATAAGCATGCTCTAGCAACTTCTTTACAGCAGTTAATTCTTGTAATAGTGATGCTTCTACAAAACATAATTGAAATATAACTCAAGAAATTCTTTTCACTACATTAATGCTCCTCTTGAAATAAAATTGCATGTCATCTAGTTGTTTAATATTCCACCAATATTTAGCCACTGAACAAATTATGTAAATATAAGTTCAAAAGTAACTACCGGTAATTTGCAAAATACTTATAGCCTAATGAGCCTTATTTCTTTAATGCACAAAGAGACTCGATATAGAGAATAGTGATTTTATAGCTTGCGATATAATTAACTTACTACCTTCAAATACTAAACAATAGTAAAATTAAATATTAAAACTATCTTCCGTCATCTTATGGGTATTATTACCTTTAGCCTTGACCAAATGAGCTATTCCATGTTATACATGATCAAAGAATTTAAAACGATAAAGAAACATAACATAAATATTATGTCAATGAATAAAAGTGACTTTCGTTACTTGAAAAAGAGGCAATTTATAAGTGAAAATATGCTCCGGTGCCCAAGATTCAAAATCAATTATTGCAAATATCTGCCGTTGTAAATTATTAATTAAAATCGAACAAAGAATGGTGCAGTTTGCTTGTTCTGTATTCGACCTAACTAATTGGCACATGGATGAAGGGAGTCACATGAGATATGCTCTTAAGAATCATTTGAATTAGAACATCAACTTTACCTAATTCTAGGGAAATAAATGAGGATGATAATAATATGAAACTTCAAAATTAGCTTCCTCTATTTTACAACATTCTATTGACCATTGCTGTTGATTTCATCAATATTCTTGGTCGGCTCTATATGATGTCAAAGTAGTGAAAGTCACATCTTTGACTTATACACACGGGCTTCGGAGAGGATTTTTTAATCAGATAACAAATTAGATAAACTGCCCAACATAAAGTAAATCTGTTGGATAGTTTAGAAGTAACTAGTAGGAAAGAGGGGCGATACTATATAATAAATCTTCGGTATTTAGAAGAATGTCCGTATGTTTGATGCCAAACCTGAAAGACACCACCCTTTTTCTTAAACCAAGTCAGTTTTCATTACCCCAAAAAAATAGTTTTGAATTCCAATCTCTCACTTGTTGACTCTGTCCAATTCTCGAAATATTGGGGGACCTTTAACACGTATCCAAAAATTTAACTTACTACAAACTGCACTAATTTAATTACTCATAGTGATTATCAAACTTCAACCTAGTAATTTGAATCAAACATCGAGAAGGAAATCCGACTTCCTGAAATTCTTCGATTAAACTCAAACGCGATATAAAAACTTGAGAATTCAAAAAATGAAAAAATCGACAACTAACCTGATCAATTAGTTCTTTGGGAAGCGACGAAGATAACTATTGATCAATTTTAATCGATCTCGAGCTTTCGAAGAGCGGAGAAGATTTACCATTTTTCTCTAAGGATTTCAAGCCCTAGCGTTCTAGGTTTTTATGGAGAGAGGTGACATAGCGATGTAGACGCCAAAAGAGATGTATTCTATGAGGGCTCTTAAGTAATGAATTCAAGATATGAAAGAAAAAAACACAATTTTTATTTGATGCAAAAATAAATATTAAAGGAGGGAACAACGAAATAAATTAGAGGGAAAATAGACTAATAAAAAGTTTTCTGAAAAATTGCTAGCTTTTACCGGCCACTTTTGTTAATTGCCAGTGAAAATGTAATTTTCAAGGCCAATATTCATTTGCCAGTAAAGATCATGTCCAGCAAATAAATTGCCGGCTATATATTTATTGCCACTAAATATTGGTCATTAAAAGCCTTTTTTGTAGTAGTGCGATCTATGGCCTTGATTTGGTCGGGATTGACCTCGATGCCTCGTTGTGATACTAAGAAGCCGAGGAATTTTCCAGATGTCAAGCCGAAAGCATATTTTTCGGGATTTAATTTCATGTCGTGCCTTCTGAGTATGTCGAAGGCTTCCCTCAGATGGTCGATATGGTCTTCATTTCTCTTTGACTTGACCAAAATATCGTCTATATATACTTCCATAGTCTTGCCGAGTTGATCTTTGAACATTTTGGTCACTAGCCTCTGGTACGTTGCCCCGCATTTTTTAACCCGAACGGCATCACTCTATAGCAGTACATCCCCTGGTGGATGATGAAGGTGGCTTTTTCCTGGTCCTCCTCCTCCATGAGGATTTGGTTGTAGCCCGAGTAGGCATCCAAGAAACTCAGCAGTTCGTGCCCTGCTGTGGCGTCGATGAGTTGGTCGATGTGGGGCAGCGGGAACGAGTCTTTTGGGCAGGCTTTGTTCAGATATGTGAAGTCCACCCACATCCTCCACTTACTGTTCTTCTTATTCACCATGACCACATTGGCGACCCACTGAGGGTACTTCGATTATCTGATGGAACCGTTCACTAACAATTTCTCGACTTTTTTACGAACTGCGTCGTTTATTGTAGAGTTGAACTTTCGTCTAATTTGCCTTACCGGGGGGTAAAATGGATCGACGTCCAACTTGTGAGTTGCTATCTCCTTTGGGATACCTGGCATGTCTGCATGGGAAAAGCGAATAGGTCTACGTTATTTTTTTAAGAATTGATGAAATTTACCTGGATCTTGGAGTTTATGGCCGATGAAAGCTTTCTTGCTATGGTCATCGTCGTCTAGTTGGACGGGGTCGAGGTCCTCTACGGTCAACCCTGTGGCTTCTATGATTTCAGGGTCGCTGATGACGTTTTTATTTTCATCGCCATCCGACCCCGACTTCATTAATTGCTATGATTCCTCGGCATTTCCTTTCAACTGTTGGGTGTATGTGCAGTCTTGGGCGATGCGGTAGCATTCTTGGGCTGTACGTTGCTCTCCTCGGATGCAGAATACTCCCCAGGGGGTGGGAAATTTAATGACTTGGTCCAAACTGGAGGGGACGGCTTTCATGGTGTGTATCCATGGTCGGCCTATGATGGCGTTGTACGCTGTATCCTGGTCCATAATGTGGAACATGGTCTCCAAGATGACGCCACCGGCCAAGACGGGCAGCGTGATATCTCCAGACGTCCGCTCAACTGCATTGTTAAAACCTGTTAGCGTGATGCAGCATGGCACTATCCTGTCCTCGAGCTTCATTTGGGTGAGAACTCGAGGATGGATGATGCACGCGCCACTTCTATCATCGACCATGATACGTCTTACATCAGTATCAAAAACACGTAAAGTAATGACAAGGGCGTCATAGTGAGGAAAGACCAAACTGGGGGTATCTGACTTATCGAAGATGATACTTTCTTCGAGTTCGTCATACCATTCGCGGGTGATTGACCGCTTGAGTTTGTGGGTGGTGGTGAACTTCAAGCTGTTGACAAATGCGTCGTCGCCTCCTCCGATGATCATTTGAATGGTCCGAACTGGGAAGGTGGTTTGGGCGGCCCCTGGTGTTGTTCTCGTCCGCGAGCGAAGTTCGCTCTTCCTCGGTCACTCATCAGTTCTCTCAAATGCCCCTGGTTAAGCATGTTTACTACCTCCTGCCTCAAGGCGATGCGGTCTTCGATTTTGTGGCCTCGTTCCCGGTGGAATTCACAGAGGGTGTTCGATTTTTTAGTGTTTGGTTCGGACTTCATCTTTTGTGGCCATTTCACCTTAGGGCTGAGCTTCTCCAGAGCGTAGACTATCTCTGAAGGAGAAACACAGAAGTTATGAGTAGATAACAGTGGAGACATACCTCTTTCGCTTCAGTGAGTCCCTGTTTGCGGCCTGGGTGAGCCGTCACCGTGACGGGGAGGTGGTACGGCGGCCGTTCTGGTGTACGGCTGGTGTCTTTCGCGATTGGGGCGCGGACCTGCATGATCCCTCCTGTTGTCGTTTCTGCGGTCTTTTCTCGACTCCATCTGGACTATGGGTGTTAAACGGGCCGGGTTGAACCGGTTCCAGACCGCCCAGACCGGTAGAACCCAGAACCGGCCCGAACCGGTAAGAGGGGGCTGGGCTGGGCTGGGTAGGGGCGCTGGGCCGGATTAATTATTTGAAACGGGTAACCGGCCCGGTTGAACCCGGAAGAGTTGCTGTTCACTCTTACCGGGTTAACCGGCCCGGTTCAACGGCTACTTTTTTTTTTGTTTTTTTTTTTAATTTTCGAATTCAGTGGCCCCACTTCCTTGTATGAAGAACTATACAAAACCTACTAGGGCAATGCAAAACCTTTGAATTTACTTGGTGTTTAACGGATTAATTATACTTTTGATTATGAAGAACTTACTAGGGCAATGCAAAACCTTTGAATTTACTTGTTGTTAAAAATGTAAACTTTTCAATTTGTAAGTTTAAAATTTTGAATTATGAAATAAAAGTAGCACTTGCAATAAGTGCAATTTTTTCCCATCTTCCTTGTATTCTTTATGTTAGTACTTTATATTAATATAACTTACAATATTTAAACAAAAATCCAAAAAAAATTAAAAATACACTAAACCCGGCCCGGCCCCCTCAACCCGTAACCCTTACGGTTCATTTTTTACCCGGATGAACCCGAACCGTAAAACCCGTTAAGAACCAACCCGGAACCGGCACGGGTCCAAAAAAATAGGCCCAGTCCGGCCCGGCCCACCCGTTAAATACCCTTAATCTGGACTGATGTCAACCGCTGGGTTGGCCTGCTCTCACCTCGGCACAATAAGCGTTATATATTCTTCCAAAGTGGTGGGAGGGTACTTAATTAGTCTGTACAATAGCTTTTTGGTCGCCCTCAACCCGCTCCTATTCAGGCCGTTTTAGAAAGCTGCTACTGCCATCCCCTGTAATACATTTGGAAGGGTCATTCTCACTCTGTTGAACCGGGCAAGGAAGTGTAACGACCCGGTTAGTCGTTCTAAGAGTTGTAGCCCCGTTCTCTCATTTTTGTTTCTTTATGTGTGTTTAGCTGTGTTGAGTTGTATCGAGTTGGTAGGTTTGGGTTCGGAGTAGTTTTGGAGTGAAATGATCATTTAGTCTCTTAGTTAGAAAGCTAAGTTAGAAAAGTCAACCGGAAGTTGACTTATGAGTAAACGAATTTGGATTTGGATTTTTATGATTCGATTAGCTTCGTTGGTTGATTTTAGACTTAGGAGTATGTCCGGAATATAATTTGAAGGTCCGTGGTAGAATTAGGCTTGAATTGGTAAAAGTTGGAAGTTTAAAAGTTTTAGGCTTGAATTCGAGGTTGATTTGGTGTTTTGGTGTTGTTTTGGGTATTCCGGAGGTTCGACTAAGTTCGGGTAGTGATATATGACTTGTTGGAATTATGGTTGAGGTTCCGAGGGCCTCAGGTGAGTTTCGGATAGGTTTGGGTTGTGTTGCGCTCGTTTTTCTTATGGTTCGACGTCGTTTCTTCAAGCATAAATGATATCATATTGAACAAATGAGCTCCGATTTCTTTTTTGATTGAAGCATTAGATCCGTATTGTAATTACGGGCTTGTAGCAAAAAGAATCGTCGAATTTGGACATCATATGAGAATTTTATGGTCATTTTACTAAGAATTAGGTTGCTAGATTTTTCAAATTAATTATGAAATTGCCACTAACGGCGTATTTAAAAATCTGCACTATTTGCAAATATTAAAACCTATATATCTCCTTCGTTATAAGGTCAAATTGAGTGATTCAAAAGCCTAACTTGACTAGAATTGCACAAGGAATCCATTAGAGGCATAAAATACGAGTTTCGGGATCGTTTGACATGAGAAACGAGGCAGAATATCTGGTAGAAAATATACAAAACAAGGATTTGTTCATTCGGTCATATTTTGAGTTGGGGAGCTCGGATTTGGGCGATTGTGGAGGCGATTTTCACCATATGGATTGGCGTAAGTTTTCTCTACTCGGTTTTGATTATATTTCATGAATCCATCTTCGCATTTGGGATTTGATTGATGATTTCAAAGTGAAATTGAGGGAGTTAGGGTTTGAGTTTTGGAGAGTTTTAAGTGAAGATTTGAGGGACCAAACGGAGTTCGATTTTGATAAATTTTATACGGTTAGACTCGGGAGAAGACGTGCTTTGTTATTCTGCTATTTTTGACTGGTTTCGAGATGTGGGCCCTGGGGCCGGGTTTTGGCCGATTCCGGATTTTTGGCCTATTTTTGTAGTTTTTATTGTGGAATTCGATTCTCTAGCCATGTTGATAATATATTACGGTTATGGTTAGATTCGGAGCTTTTAGAGACCGAGTCGAGGGACGAGGACATCCCGGAGTAGGATTTTATGCTGTTGAGGTAAGTAACAGTTTTAACTCTGGCTTTGAGGGTATAAACCCGGAATTGATATCATGTGATTGTTTGGTGTTGATACCCACGCTAGGTGACGAGCGTGTGGGTGCGCATCGCGAGGGATTGAGCCTTGGTCCGTCCCGTGAGGCTGTGAGGCCTAATGGCTATTATCTGTGGTTATGTGTTTACTTGTTGTTGAACTTGTTTTCCTTCACGTTAGGGATCATGCTTAGGCTTTATTCATGCTCAATTAATTATACTCAGTCATAGAAATTATTGTACATTTTTACCTCCGCTCTATTATTTGCTAATATGCTGTGATTCTTAATGTGCGTTGTATCCCCTTATTTGTTGATGATGGTGAGGCTAGTGAGGTACATGATTGAGTGAGACCGATGGCCTGATTGTGAGGATATTAATACCATAGCGTGTGAGTTGTTCGCGTAGCACGTGAGTTGACCGTGCGGGTCCAGGTATTGATACCATAGCGCGTGAGTTGTCCGCGTAGCACGTGAGTTGACCGTGCAGATCCAGGTATTGATATGATGGCCTGGTTGTGAGGATATTAATACCATAGCACGTGAGTTGACCGTGCGGGTCCAGGTATTTATACCATAGCGCGTGAATTGTCCGCGTAGCACGTGAGTTGACCGTGCGGATCCAGGTATTGATATGGTAGCACGTGAGTTGTCCGTGCTTAGCGCTTGGGCTTTGGGAGCCACTCCGGAGCCTGTACACACCCCCAGTGAGCGCAGAGTGTTGAGTGTTTTGAGTGTGTTGAGTGTTGAGTGCGAGTGATGAGTGGTGGAGTGACACTGCTGTGAGGTTGCATTTATTTGTGTTGTTGCTGCATTTATCTGTTAAATTTCTTTATGGCATTTACTGAGTTATGGAATTTACCTGTTTATTCCTGTTATTTTTAAAATTGTGAAAAATAAATAATTGGACTATTTTGCTCAGCTCGTCACTATTGCTCAGTTCCTTAGTTATTTATGTTACTACTGAGGTGGTTGTACTCATACTACACCCTGCACTTTATGTGCAGATCCAGGTGAGTAGAGCGCGGCAATCGTTGAGTTCAGGCCGGCTTTAATTAGAGACTGCAAGGTAGCTGCCAGCGTCCGCAGGACCTTGTTACTCCTTTTATCATTTCTTCTTTGGATAGTTAGACAGTTTATATATCTCAGTTCATAGTTTTAGACGATCATGACTTAGTGACACCCCGATGTTTGGGGCTAGCTTCCGTATTTTTATATTAATTATATTTAGAGTTGATTTAGTTTATGAGAAATTCAAATGTTGGTATTGTTTTATTAAATCCTGAAAATTAATTAGTAGTAATATTTTGGGAAGTAGGCTTGCCTTGTAACAGGATAGGCGCCATCACGACCATGGTTAGATTTTGGGTCGTGACAGGAAGTCCCTGAGCCCTTCGCCAGGTGACTGTCTGATCCCTGGCTTCATCTTTCTTGGCCCCTGCATGGGCGGTGACAAACTTGTAGGCCATTTCTTCAAATGTCTGCACGGATCATGCGGGCAGTTGCGAGTGCCATGTTAATGCTCCCCGAGTTAGGGTTTCACCAAACTTTTTCAGCAATATAGATGGCACCTGATCTTTAGCGAGGTCATTGCCTTTCACTGCGGTGACGTAGTGGATGATGTGATCCTCAGGGTCCGTTGTACCGTCGTATATCTTCAGATATGGTGGCATCTTGAATGTTTTGGGTATAGCATGTGGTTCGGCCTCGTCGCTATACGGTTGTTCCACAAACTGGTCGGCGTCCCGCTTTGGTAGGAGTTTTGGGGTTCCCGGTATCTTATCTACCCTTTCTTGACGCTCTCTCATTTGGTCGTGGAGTGCTTTGTTCTCGTTGTCCATCTCCTCCATTTTTCTAAGGATGGCAGTGAGGGCGTCGTTACCCGCATCATTGACAGAGTGAGTGATACCTGTCGAGGGAGGCTGGGTGTGTTGCTCATTGGTTGTTGTGGCGACGTCAATTCGCATACCCTCTCTGCTCACCCTCTGAGCGGGTTTGTCGAGTATACTGTTCAGTGTATTCGTTAGCCATACTTCTAGTAGCTTTTTTACCGCCTGTGGTGCTTCTTCCGTAGTGGACGTGGAGGCTCACTTTCCACGAGAAGCGGTAACGCTGCCATGAGGGGGGGTGAATCACTTCGCCTAGGTGAGGCGCTTGGTGTCACGTTCTCCTCGTCCTATCCGTGAGTTTCATTGATGGTGTTTAGGAGATTAGTAGTAAGGTCTGCCACTGCTTTTAGTCCTTCTTCTCCATTTTCTGCCATGTTAGATTATGCAAGTAGGGAAAAGAAAGTCCTGTATTTTGCTATTGGTGTGTTTTTGTAGATCTAGAAAGACTATGATTTTGACTAGGAAGTCCCCACAGACGGCGCCAATTTGTTTGACCAAAAAGTATAACACTCTTTGTTAAACTAATTAAAAGATAAAGAAGGTGAGAGGTGAATCCTAGTCAAGCTTAATACTTCTTAGATCTAGCAAAGTGTTTAAATGAAACCGTCCACTTAATGCCCGGAATTGTTTGTTAAGCTATTAATTGCACGCTTTGGAGAATAAATGAAGAATGAATGATGAGCAATAAATATGAAAATGTAAATAAATGTAAATAGGAAGAATAATTCACCCAAATGTCGAATGATGGGAAGATTCTTCCTCCTGACAACAGAATATGGCAATAAGTGAGAAAGTGAACAATGCTTTCTTGGATCGTGTGAGTGGAAAGGAAGGATAATTGATAAAATCAATCACTGTGGAAAGGTGAACTTTTATATTTTCTCTCAAGAGTCAACTTCTTACAATTGTTTTTCTCATAATGAATCTCACGTGCCTCTTTTCTTCTATCTCTCTCTCTTTCTATTTATATGGGATATTCTCTAAAAACCCTAAAAAGTATAACAAGGAGAATATTCAAGAGAATATTCTTGTCGCTAGTTCCAAGACTAAACTAGCCATTGTTCCTACTCTTCGCTACTCGACCTCGGCCTTTACGGCTTGCCCAGCGACTGCTCGTTGTTGGGTTTTGGTCGACCTCGGCCTAGCCGCCTAAATCGAAACACAGTCTTCTCACTTAACGATCTTCCACACCTAACTTCCTAAGCCGGATTTTGACCCATACAATTCTGTTGATATTAACCATAGCCCCCTTGCCATTTGTGGCTGAATGATCGATCGTCATTGGCAAGATCTCCCTGCCTTGAGTTGTGTTACTTTCTTCCTCTCTTTAGTTGATAGATCTTTTAAGTGACTGAATGATACATTTACTGAGTGCAACCTGTTATGTTGGCACAGGACAGCTCCATCTACTTCAAGTAATACTGAATCAACTTTCCTTTTGGTATATTGCAGCAGCTCATGCTAGGATTAAGCATGGAGTACTATGAAAGCAGTCTTACTTCCAGGTATCACTTTGTGGATGGACTTGTTTTAATAGCAGGCTTTCACCTTACACACGGGAAGATTGGATTGCTAGAATCATGAGTCTTATATACTATGTTACGATCGCCCCATATTGATAAAACATCCAGAGAACAATTTTATTACGAATATTAGGGATGTACACGGACCGCGTTGGTTCGGTCTTTATCATAACCAAAGCAAACCAACTATATCCGTTTGGATCGGTTCGGTTTCGTCGGATTTTTCGGGGTTTTTTGTTACATAAATATTATTTCAATCTTACTTTGTGTTAAAGATAAAATTTTGATAAGTGAATATATGTTTAGCAAAAATTGACAAACATATGACCTATTAAAATATTCTTATGGGAGAATATTTTTAGTAATACATGATAGTTATTTTCTTAGTCGTCTAACAATAACTTTTGTTGATGTACGCTTTCATGATTTACCGAATTTAATAAATAAACATAAAAATCAATATGATACCTAAATAATGATATGTTCTATTTAATTTAAAGTTATCGAATACCATTTCAAATTCGAAAAAGATATAAGAAATTTTGACATATGAATATGCAAGAACAAAGAGATTATTGACACATTTTAATAACACTTGATAAGAAAGCAATACAACCAATTATTTAAAGTAAATAAAAATGTATAGTTTATTAAATATTATATCCCATGAGAAGATCCCAAATATTTTTGGATATTTTTTGTAAAGAAAATTCAATATAAAGTCTTAAAAGTATATATAAAATTTTATATTTATATGTCGGTTTGGTTCGACCAAACCAAATCAAACCAAACCTAATCGGTTTAATCGATTTGGTTTGACTTTTCGGTTCGATTTGTTTGAACACCCCTAACGAAAATAAAGCCTCAAAGCCAATGCAATATTCTTGATCGGCTATTGTCTTTCTTTGGTACCTGATTACTAAGAGGATGATTGGCTAAGCTTATAAGCGGGAGAAATTCAAAAATAGTCAGATTTACCACTGGTCGTTGAAAAATAGCCAAGTTTCAAAAGTCATCGAAATTTAGCCACTTTAAATCTGAGCGAAAACGCTGTTCAAAATTCGGAAAAATACGCCCGCAAATTTTACGGGAGTTCCAGCATAAGTATGCTTGAACTCCCGTAAATTTTACGGGAGTTCCAGGATAACTATGCTGGAACTCCCGCAAATTTTATGGGAGTTCAAGCATAATTATGCTGGAACTCGCGCAAATTTTACGGGAGCTCCAGCAAGTATAATTGTCCAGTATAATATACTGGAGTTTGGAGCATTGGTGCTCCAGTCTCCCGCAAATTTTACAGGAGTTAGCAAAGTATACCGGTCCAGCATAATATGCTGGAGTTCGTACACAAATGCACCAGAACTCCCGTATATTATACTAGACCGGTCCCTGTTGCAGCAAAATAGTGTCTATTTTTCATTGACTTGATAAACGCTGGCTATTTTTCATTGACCAGTGTGAAAACTGGCTATACCATGATATTTTAACCTTATAAGCTGGTCAAACCAGCTTATAAGTTATTTTTGGCTTATGTACGCGTTTGGTAAAATTAAAAGTGCTTATAAGTCAAGTGCTTATAAGCCAAAATAAGTCATAAGTCATAAATTGATCACCCCCAACTTATTATTTTTCAGCTTATAAGCACTTTAGGTTTAACCAAAGTTTTTACTTCTCTATCCCTAATATTATTTCGTAATTTCCGAAATACCCTTATAGAAATAAAACCCTAACAAACTCTCTGCCTTCATTCTTTGACCCTTTTCACAGTCTTTTCTCGAAACCGAAAACTCTACTACCAACCTCAAGAAACTATCAAGTTCTGAAGTACTTCCATACGTCAAAGGCATATGAAAGCTTTCTAGGTAGAAACTCTTAATTCGGTCATCTTCTTTATTTTAAAAGAATTTCTTGCCCTGTGTTATTAAAAGGAACCTGATAGATGTATAAGTTTTTAGCATATGTACTTGATGCATAATTTTTAGCAAAGTGCCAAACATATTAATTATTATATTATAGCTTATGAGTGTATTTTAGCTTCTCATAAATTAATTTAAATTCATAAAAAATAATCTTATCTAATTAAATTTGTATCAAGTAAAAAGAGAAATAAATTATTTACTACTTGAATCAATTTAGTATCCAAAAACTTGTAAAGGTCACATTTTTATTAATATAAATAGCTTTAAGGGCATTTAAGTCACTTTAGCAAAAAAAACGTGCTTATCAGCATTTTTCTGCCAAATACTCAGCTGCTTATTATCAGTTTCAGTACTTTTATCCAAACACATAACTACTTATTTTTTAAATCAACTTCAACACTTAAAAGTACTTTTCAGCCGTTAATGCTTATCAACAACTTTATATTAGCTAAGCCAAACGGGCTCTAATTTATCTTATCTTTTCAAGCTTAAGATAAAGACGCTTTAAGTGACTGTTAATTAACTATGCAATACATAATTTTTAATATATGCCAATGATGTAACTTGTAATACCATATAACCATCTTCAGAAGATAGGAAAGGAAACATAATTACAGACATTTCTCCCTCGAAAATAAAGGTAAAAATTGTACGGGGCGCCCTATTTGGTCGCCCCCATTTAACCTATACCCATTTTTTTAAAAAGTTTTAACTTGTATTCACTTTTTAAACAACTTCAGCCCCCTTTCTCCTCCTTCGTTTTCTTCTTCTTCTTCTTCTTCTTCTTCTTCTTCTTCTTCTTCTTCTGTTTCTTCTTCTGTTGTTGGTGCTGCTATGAAACTTCAGTTCATGGGATGATTGCCATAAGTATGTTTATCGGATTATTTAAAAACAAATTATAAATAATTACGTAAGTTAGTAGACAATAATTTGTGAATATTTCCACGTATGGGAAGTTTAAGGTCACACTTAGTGATTCTTTTCATGATAATTCTGTTCTTTTCACGTTTATTTGTTTTCAAAATTTTCTGATTTAGATACTGTTGGCAATCTGATTATTTTATAGTAGTCTGATTATAACAAAACTAATGAATCCAGGACAAAAAAACTTCAGCTTATTCAGTGCTGATGTTTTTACAAATGAATTAAATAACTTCAGCATCTTCTGCTGAAGTTTTTGAAAAAGCTTATCCAGGACAAAAAAACTTCAGCTTATTTAGTGCTGAAGTTATTATAAATGAACTAAATAACTTCAGTGTCTTCTACTGAAGTTTTTGAAAAAGCTTAATGACAAAACTAATGAATCCAGGACAAAAAAAAAATTCAGCTTATTTAGTGCAATTACAAACAAAAACTTCAGCAAATAGAGAACAAAACTTCAGGTACTATGCTTAAGTTCAGCAATTACAAACAAAAACTTCAGCAAATAGAGAACAAAACTTCAGCTACTATGCTTAAGTTCAGTAATTACAAACAAAAACTTCAGCACACTTGGTTCGGCGCACTTGCTACTTCAGGCTCGTCTACTAGAATGCTGAAGTTTTGCGTGATTGCCTTTGCTACTTCAGCCCCGTATGCTGAAGTTACGCGGACAAGTGGATACGCTTGCAAGTTTTTTGCAAAGCGGGCACAAGTTAAAACGTGACCCAAAAAGCGAGTATAGATGCAAATTCCACCAAATAAAGCATACCAAATAGGTTGAAATAGTGGGCTTTAGTGCCCTAATTGGGCCCAATGCCCAAGATGTTAATTTGGAAGCCCATCTGCTAGACTGGCTCTCAAGTCCTTTCGAAGTATTTTGCCAGATGGAGATTTAGGAACCGCATCCACAAAAAATACTCGCTTTATTCTCTTATAAAATATCACCTGAAAATTAAAAGGAATGCCAATGTTCTGAGTCTAAGATATAATGTATATATTTATTCGTACATTCGGACATTTATTTTTTGATATTTTTAAAATATTTCTAATGAAGAAAAGGACCTATTTTCTTTTATTTTATTTCCAATTAATTAAAGTCATTTTGAGAGAAGGAGAAATAGTTAGTACGTACCATTTTTTGAATAAAACCAAAGAATTCAATGAAGATAAGACTAGAACTAACCTGCTTTGAGATAAAATCCTTGATTTCGTCCTCAGTAATGGTGCATCCACTGGATTTAACAACAAAAGCCACTGGAACTTCTCCTGCTTGCTCATCTTTCATGCTGCCATTTTAGTTAATAAATTATCATAATTTGGACTATCACTGGCTTAAATATGTTATGCCTTTCTCTTTCTTAATTTAGTAAGTGTTAAGTAAAGGACTGTCCGGTGCACCCCAAGGAATGTGATGTAGACAGCTTATGCTAATGCAAATATTAGTGGTTGCTTCCACGGTTCGAACTAGTGACGTATAGGTCACACAAAAAGATAACTTTACCGTTACTCTAATTAATATTGAGTGCAAGATACTATATATTCGAACAAAAGATAATAAATGCGTACACTTGAATTTATTGAAGATTATAAGAAAGGACTTAGTGGCGTTTACAACAACAACAACAACAACCCAGTAAAAATTTTACGAGTGGGGACATAGTGGGCGATTGGACATAAGAATTATAAAATTCCTAAAAAAGTGATTCTTTTTTCAAGTGAAAATAGTATTTAAAAATTATAACTGTGTCTGGACATGAATACAACTTTGGGCTGTTTTTGAATTTTCGTGAGTGATCTGAAGTGAAAATTTTGAAAAACAGTTTTTTGGAGTTTTTAAAATTTTCGAAAAATTTCGAAATTCATTGTCAAGTGAAAAATGAAAATTATATGACCAAACACTGATTTCGAAAAAAGTAATAAAATTTCGGAAAAAAGTAAAAAAGAAATCTATGACCAAAAGGGACCTTAGAAACTTACGGGACAACAGCAGCATCAGAAATATAAGGAAGGTTGAGGAGAAGTGCTTCAAGTTCAGCAGGAGCCACTTGAAATCCTTTGTATTTTATCAATTCCTTCAATCGATCCACAATAAAAAGCTCGTCGTCGTCGTCAATGTAGCCAATGTCACCACTGTGTAACCATCCTTCTTTGTCTATTGTTTGTGCAGTTGCCTCAGGATCATTCAGGTAACCTGATGCACACAACTTTTACTAGTTTTAAATACTTAATTTTTTTACGAAAAAAAAAAGAAGAAATTTTTAATGCTTTTGCTAAGAAATACTTCCTCTAAAACCTCTTTATGCACATGATTTTAATATTTGGATATGGATCTTAGGCATAACTCAACCGCAAAACTAGCTCATAAGGTAAAAATTGTCCAAAACTTTATGAAACCAGAAAACCAATATCATACCGATATGGGACTCAACAAGTAGAAAGAATTGAGACTTGGTAAGTGAAAAGTTTAGACCAAATATACAAGAGTTCCATAATCTAAAAATGAGTGTCTATTTGTGGTCAATTATTTTGAACTATGACTCCACAAGTTTCTAATTGGTGAAAAGAAGGTAGGACGGCCTTATTCTAGGGTTACTAGTACCACTATCTAATTTGAACTATGACTCATTATTGCTTAGTATTAGTGGCGGATCTAGAATTTTTAAGTCATGGATGCTGAAATATTATTTATCTAAAAATTACTATTACGACTGGGTGCTCAAGTAATATATTTGTAAGAATTACTAGCTTTTTATATAAATCATAGTTCATCACTCCAAAAGTAATGGGTGCTTGAGCACCCATAACCATCAATGTACATCCGCCACTGCTTATTATTACAAGTATATCATGTTATGGCGAGTTAATTTTATAAATGGTCATTGAATTTTTGTGTTTGTTATCCAAAAATCACTTTTTTTTTGTTACATAAAAATCATTCAACTTTGTGTTCATTACACAAAAATCACTTTTCATTCTTTTGTTACACAAAAATTATTTTACTTTGACTCTAGTTATCACAAAAGTCACATTTTTACTTAAAAAGTCTATTATGCCCTTGATATTATATAAACCTTCATATTTATGTAATACCTTCTATATTATATACTATATAATATATTTTTAACTATGTATTTTATTTATAAATAAAATAACTTAATACTATTTTATTTATTATTTTTATAATATATTCGTATATTTAATTTTTTTCTTAACATTTCAAAATATATTAGTAGCGTTATTACATTTGTCAGTAACTTTAATATATATTAGTAGAGAATAAATCGGCAAGTACATTTCCGTGAGAAAATTCGCAAGTAAACAAACAAAGAAAATGAGAAAAAAAATCATATGTTAATCTGAAGGAAAATCCCTAGATAACTCTACATGCGAATTTAGCTGGGGATATTTTCTTGGGGATTTACCTGGGCAATTGGTTATTTTATACTACTAGAAATTCGAGAGAAATCGTCCAAAAAAATCGACCAAAGTTGGTCGGTAATGGTCAATAACCGTCCAAAACGCGACCATTAACGTGTGGTCGGTATTTTAAGATCGGAAGGGCCTACCGACCAAAGTTGGTCGGAAATTACCGACCGAGTCGGTCAATTAAATTCAAAAAAAAAAAAGAATAACTGAAAAAAAGTTATTTTATAATGCTACTAATATATCTTGAAAATTAAATATATAAATGTATTATAAAAATAATAAATAAAATAATATTAAGTTATTTTATTTATAAATAAAATACCTAATTAAAAATACATTACACAGTATATAATATAGAAGGTATTACATAAATATGAAGGTATATATAAACTTTTCAAGTAAAAATGTGACTTTTGTGATAACTAGAGCAAAGTAAAATGATTTTTGTGTAACAAAAGAAAGAAAAGTGACTTTTGCGTAATGAACACAAAGTTGAATGACTTTTACGTAACAAAAAAGAAAGGGGGGACTTTTGGGTAACAAACATAAAAGTTCAATGACCATGGATAAAATTATCTCTGTTATGACTGATTACTCTATATTGATGATGTAGAAACTCTTTCCCTCGCCAGTGTTAGATCTACTTGTAGCTAATAATGTTGTAAATAGTCTTTCATGATTTGATTAGTATAAAATTTATACTAATTCTATAAAAAGAAATTGCACATAAAAAATAATTGATAAACAAAGTATCATTTGGAGCTAATTACCTTTCATGATTTGGTCACCTCGTATGCAAATCTCTCCAGATTTGTTTCGAGGAAGAGAGCTACCAGTGTTTAGATCCATAATTTTCATCTCAGCATTCCTTATAACAGTTCCACAGGCCCCTGATTTTATCTCAAATGGCTCTTTTGCAAATGCCAAACACATTGCCAACACTGAACCAGCCTCCGTCATCCCATAACCCTATACATTCATGGACACTATTAGGGTCTATCCGGGAACTCGTGTAATTACTAGGGTGGTAATTACACGCCCCGCTAATTATTACAATGACTTGTTTATTTGTTAAAATGTAATTACAGTATAATTTTAGAGGCGGACCCAAGATTTAAACGTAACGGGCGCACAATATTCTACTCAACCAATGCCCCCTAAAGGCTTTTAGCATTTCGGGTGTCAAGTGATTTAAATTAACCATTTTTAAAAAATATACATATACCTATAGAAGATTTCTGCTGAAGCTTACAGGGTCCGGTAACCAGAGGCGGAACCAAGATTTCAAGCTTATGGGTTCGGGAGTCGAATTCTTTTAAGTTACTAGGTTCTAAATTAATAATTTGTACACATTCAATGAACTTTATAAGATAAATACAAGATCTTAATCAAAGTTACTGGGTTCGGCCGAACCCATAGACGGCACTCTGGCTCCGCCCTGCCGGTAACCCTCAACATAACACATAGGTTCTCTTCTATGTAATTCTCACTATCATGTTTGGTTAAACAAGTATAATTATATAGTTAAATAAACTTTTGTTCAGATTAACTTCTCAAATATAGAATAATGTGCTAAATAGTTATAGATTGATAAATAATATCTTAAAAGTAGTAAGTATCTTCCAAATAAATAATATTGTATATAATTTAAATATGTCACGTAATTATGTCTGTCGGTGTTACTTTTTTGTTCAGAATAAAATACCATTATTATTATCTATTAAATATTTTTATTAAACTTAGATTAAAATTTAAATGTATTGATTCGGGTACTCCGAAATTAACCAAGCGCCTTCCAGCAATTTTATAAGTTAAAACAGGTGATGGAAGAAGTCAATATCATGCTACTTTAGATGTGCTGACAAAAAATCCGATTAGCTTTTGTTTATGTAATAAAGAAGTTAAAACATTTATATACACTTTTAAGAAAATTATTATAATTGTAAGAAAAGGACAGTTGTTCATTTTAATTTCTAGCGGATAACCCTTCTCTTTGAGTCTTGATGTAACACCCAGACTTTAAACCGCGACAAAACATATGAGGGATGCTGGGTATATAAATTAATCAGTCTTAGATCCTAGTGACGCATTTTAAATCCGTGAAGGCTTAGGTCCAGAGTGCGTAATATCACTAGCGGAATGGGCTGTCAGTAAAGGTGGGAAAAGGAGGATAAGCATTCTCTTGGAGTAGAAAAAGAGATAAAGATAACCCCTTTTCACCAACATTTGAAATAGACGTTTACCTAACAACAGATTTTCTATTTTTTTTTTTAATCCAGAGGGAGGAAATATTAAAGCAACTTTGAAATTAGGGTAAGCTAATGTCATGGATAATGTGAAAACAATAATCATAAAGTCAGCAAGCGTATGAATTAAGATCCTACTTTGACTAAGTAAAAATGTAATCGACATATGACTCCTTTTAAGGACAACATATATCGATGGAAAAAATAATAATTAAAATATGTAAAGAAGACTTTTGAATCTTGTGAACTTGTATTAAAAGTGTGTATAATATATTAAAAGTATCTGTTGAATCTTGTGGTTTTAAACATATCGTATTATTCCTTTAAGGGAGTGTTATTAAGAATAAAATTGGAATGTTGTATAATTTAAAAACCCTATATATTTTGAACAGACTAAAAAAATGTAAAACATGGAGAAAATGTACAGTTTTATATACAGATAATGGGAATAATTTGCACTTGTAAGTTGTAACAGATTATTTTCCTTTTTTCACCAACTTAGTGGGTGTTTGGACATAAGAATTGTGAAATTTTGGAGAAAAAAGTAAAAAAAAAAAAAAAATTCAGTTGAAAATGATATTTGAAAATTAGAGTTGTGTTTGGGCATGAATACAATATGGAGATGTTTTTGAATTTTGGGAGTGATTTGAAGTAAAATTTTTGAAAAACGGCTTTTTAGAGTTTTTCAAGTTTTCGAAAAATTCCGAAATTCAACTTCAAGTGAAATTTAAAATTTCATGGCGAAACACTGATTTCGAAAAAAAAAAAAATTATGGCCAAACAGACCCTTAATCTTATGGAATAAGCATGTAATGATAATCTTACCTGACCAAGTTTAGCATTAGGAAATTTTGTTCGAACTGCATCTTCAAGATCCTTTCCTAATGGAGCTGCCCCACACATGACTATCCTTACTGATGAAAGATCATAATTATCAACCATTGCACTCTTAGCAATGGCCAAAACAATAGGTGGTACAAAAGGAGCAATAGTCACTTTGTACTTTTGTATCAACTCCAAAAATGGAACAATATCAAATTTCTGCATAATCAAAATAGCTGCACCAACCCTTAATCCACAAAGTAAAACAGAATCCAAAGAGTAAATATGAAACAAAGGCAAAACACAAAGTATCACATCCTCACTATGAATATACAAAGTTGGATTTTCACCATCAACTTGTTGTGCCACACTAGTGACTAGCCCCTTATGTGTCAACATCACCCCTTTTGGTAGCCCCGTGGTCCCGGACGAGAACGGCAGCGCCAGTATATCGTCCGGTTGGATTTCCACCTCGGAAAGGTCATGTTCGATACTAGAAGCGAATCCAGGATTTAAAATCAAGTCAGAGAAGTGTAAGCAGCGCTCTGACGACGAGTCAATGCAAATGACCTTCACATCATGCTCAAAAGCATAGCTTTTCACTTTGTCCAAATTGCACTCTTGTGTAACAATAAGCTTGGGATTTGAGGCCTTGGCTTGTTTTACTACCTCTACTTGGGTAAACAAAGGATTTGCCATAGTTGAAATAGCTCCAAGATATGATGCACCTAAAAAGGTGAATACAAATTCAGGAGAATTAGGCAAGAGGATCATTATAGTGTCCTTTTGTTTGATTCCTAGCTTGTTAAATCCAGCTGCAACTTTTCTTGAAATGAGCTCAACATCAGCGTATGTATAAATTTGGTCATTGGCTCCATTGATCAAACAAGGACGAGTACTGAATTCTGAAATGTTTTCAAAGCAATAAGAATGTAAAGGAAGATGATTAGGGATGTATATATCAGGGAGTTTTGATTTGAAAATTATGTCTCCTTGCTTTGTATCCATTTCTATCGGCAGCTTGAGTACTTAATTAATTCTTGAGATTAATGAAGAAGAAAATTAGATACCGAAGAAATATTTCTGAAATGGATTGAGTTAAAAGGGTTTAGACTTTTAGTAATTACTCAAAAGATGAATTGTTCAGAGGTTGAGTATAAATATGATCATTTGAAGGAGAAACCAGATGAGAGTTGGTGAAGGGAGTTGATGGGGCTTTATATGAATTATGACCCCGGAATTTTTTTGTACAGGGAGTCTTCGAGCAACGGTAAAGTTGTTTTCGTATGACGTATAGGTCACGAGTTCGAGCGGTGGAAGCAGTCACTAATACTTAGTGTAGGCTGTTTACATCATACCTCTTGGGATGCGGCCCTTCCTCGTAGCCTGCGTGAATACGAGATGCTTTGTGTACCAGACTGCTCTTTTTAAAACTTTTTTGGATGAGTGTTTAACTTTTATACACTCATAATACAAAAAATATTTTATAGTTAAGTACTTGTTATATGAAGAACTAACTAGATATATGTAACTGTCTATGTTAAACATAAATTGATAACTTAAAAAGATGATAGATGACTTAATAATTGTTGTAACCATTTAAACTAGTAAACTACTTTGCATTGTGTGTGTACATATGTTTTAAATTTCAGACTTTTCAACGTGGGATTTTCAAATTTTACCTACCTTGACTTATGAATGATAAGGATCGATCATACTCTATCTCTCTCTCTCTCTCACACACACACACACACACATATATATATATATATATATATATATATATATATTGAACAGTTAACTTCATACTATTGTATAAGTTAGGTGTTTGTCCAGATTTTCTTATCATATTTGACTTTCCTACCTCAAGAAGGAAAGGACAACATATTTACAATAATTGAGTTTTCCTTCTTGTAGAAGAAATTATAAATCTCCCATATTTGGCTTGTCCTTTTCTTGTAGGAACGGGCTTGGAGCTCTATAAATTGAATATCTGTCCTTCTCATTCAGTAGCATCCACAATGTAGACCACTGTTGGGATCTTATTTAGGGGGAGAACTTTACGGGACACGTGTTAGTGTGTCACTTGTGTTTGCCTCTTCGTGAGGTTGTTCTCTCGATATTTTATACTCTCTTTCTATATAGTGGATTGCTCATCTCCGTCGTGGATGTAGGTAAATTGACCGAACCACGTTAAATGTTTGTGTCCCTTTTGGTATATTTCTCTTTTGTTGTCTGATTTATCGTCGATCAAGGTTTTGCTTTACTAGCTTCCGCATGACGCCTGATTTTTTGCAGTCATAACAAGTGGTATCAGAGCGAGGTTCAAGACAAGTTCATCTTGGCAAATTCAGTTCTAGCCGCAACATATTTGACGATAATATCGTAATTTTTGTCTGAGAAATTTAACCGGTGTGCTACGCACGTTGAGACAACCTTTGTGGTGGATATTTGGAGATGCGACTTGTTGAAGGCTATGTGAAGAAGGTGGATCAAGTTTATTTTGTCAGAAAATTCAGGCCAAGAGGGAGTATTGTTAGGTGTTTGTCCAGATTTTCTAACCATATTTGGTTTTCCTATCTCATGAATGGAAGGACAACATATTTACCATAATTGAGTTTTCCTTCTTGTAGTAGGAAATTATAAATCTCCCATATTTGGCTAGTCCTTTTCTTGTAGGAAAAGGTTTGGAGTTCTAGAAACTGAAGATCCGTCCTTCTCATTCAGTAGCATCCACAATGTAGCCACTAGGGCTTGGGAGTCTTGTTTAGGGGGAGAACTTTACGGTACAAGTGTTAGTGTGTCACTTGTGTTTGCCTCTTCGTGAGGTTGTTCTCTCAAATTTCATACTCTCTTTTTATATAGTGGATTGCTCATCTCCGTCGTGGATGTAGGTGAATTGACCGAACCACGTTAAATATTTGTCTCTTTTGGTATATTTCTCTTTTGTTGTCTGATTTATCGTCGATCAAGGTTTTGCTTTACTAGCTTCTGCATGACGCCTGATTTTTTGCGGTCATAACAAGTGGTATCAGATCGAGGTTCAAGACAGGTTCATCTTGGCAAGTTCAGTTCTAGCCGCAACATATTTGACGATAATATCGTAATTTTTGTCTGATAAATTTGACCGGTGTGCTACGCACGTTGAGACAAACTTTGTGGTGGAGATTTGGAGATGCGACCTGTTGAATACTATGTGAAGAAGGTGGATCAAGTTTATTTTGTCAGAAAATTCAGGCCAAGGGAGAGAATTGTTAGGTGTTTGTCCAGATTTTCTTACCATATTCGATTTTCATATCTCATGAAGGAAATGACAACATATTTACCATAATTGAGTTTTCCTTCTTGTAGTAGGAAATTATAAATCTCTCATATTTGGCTAGTCCTTTTCTTGTAGGAAAATATTTGGAGTTTTATAAATTGAAGATCCGTCTTTCTCATTCAGTAGCATTCACAATATAACCACTGGGGGCTTGGGAATCTTGTTTAGGAGGAGAACTTTATAGGACAAGTGTTAGTGTGTCACTTATATTTGCCTCTTCGTGAGGTTGTTGTCTCGATTTTTCAACTGTCTGAATTGGTAATTATAGAAAAGTGTAATATCCGATATGAGTAAGTCTTTTAATGGACTGGTAATATATTGTGAATTAAAGTTAAATACCGTAAATCATGTTTCACTTCAATTATCTTTATTCTAAGTGTATGTCACCTCCTACCACTACCTTTTGTAATACAACACTAATAACACATATTCAGCAGTGTGGGGTCTAAATAGGGTAATGCGAACATAGATCATGTCCATACCCTATTTAGAAAGGCTGCCAGTTGAATTCAAGATCATCGTTCGTGGCGACAACTGCATATTCAAGATAAAGCTCAAAGGTCCTTGAATTTATTTACTATCGAAAAGAAGAATCAGAGGATTCATAGAGATTGTAACACTCAAATATTCAAAATAAAATACTACGATTGTTGCGATATTTTTCGGTCTTAATTTTATTTTCTCGACGCAATTTATTGTCTACAAATTCTGGCAAGCCCAGTGGGACAATCTCTACCTCTCATCTCAACTTTTCAATCACCAAAGTTCAAGAACATTGAAATGGCTTCGAAGAAAATCAACTCCAGATCAACATCCACCAAGGCTGCTAACTCCAGGTTCTATGCTGATGTGGAAAGCATCCTCGATGTTACCTTTGGAAGCTTCGGACCAGTTACGAGGAGCAAAGCAAGCTCTTTAGGACAACAAGCACCCCAAGTGCCGTCCGCATCAACCCCTGTTTTCAGATCTTCATCCTCAAAAGGAGCAAGATCTTCCACAAACGCATCTGAAGGAGGAAGTGATGTTGCTGAAAAGATCAAGAAAACTCTTGCTCTGCTTGACCTCTCCGGATCCAAGCACTCTGCTGTGAAGGAAGATGATGATGCTTCAAGTGATGGATCCTCCCCACTTACACCACATAGCGTGAGCCAATCAAGGATCAATCTGTGTGAAAATCCATGCTACTCTTCGCCGTCCACGACAATCATGCAAGCCATGGTGAAAAACACTTCATCTATGGAGGAGCAGTTGGAAAACTTGACGGAAGCAATCGCTGGCTTGACCAAATGCATGCAAAATCAAGAGGCTAGAATTGACAAGCTAACAGACAGGGTGGGAATCTTGATGGAAGAAGAATCCACCCATGCACCCGGCAAGCTCCCAGAAGTTCTAGAGAGTGTCTCTCCCCCAAGACAAGCAGCATCCACTAAGTCTATCCCTGTCTCATCTGAAGGGATGATTCCAATCGATCAACTGACGGAGTTTATTGAAGGAACCATTAAGAACAAATATGAAGTTGCTGCCAAATCCTCCCTTACATACGCAAAGCCGTACACTGCAAGGGTCGATATGTTGAAGATGTCTGCTGGCTATCAACCCCCAAAGTTTCAACAGTTTGATGGTAAAGGTAACCAAAGCAACTTGTTGCGCGCTTCGTGGAGATGTGCAACAATGCTGAGACTTATGAAGATTACCTCATCAAGCAGTTTGTCCGCTCGCTAAAAGGAAATGCTTTTGACTGGTACACAGACTCGAGGCTGGATCTAGCGATAGTTGGGATCAACTAGAGCAAGATTTCCTCAATCGCTTTTATAGTACGAGACGTACTATGAGTATGATAGAACTTAAAAATACTCATCAAAGAAAGGGGGAACCAGTTATCGACTTTATCAATCGTTGGAGGAATGCAAGCCTCAACTGCAAAGACAAGCTTAGTGAAGCTTCAGGCATAGAGATGTGCATCCAAGGCATGCATTAGGGATTGCGCTACATCTTGTAAGGTATCAAGCCTGGCACATTTGAAGAACTTGCAACTCGTGCCCATGACATGGAATTGAGCATGGCCTCCGTTGGAAATGAAAGGCTGCCCATCGATGAACCTCGCAAAGGGAATGACAAGCAAGAAGTCAGAAAGTGGGGCAAGTTCGTACCCAAGTCTGAAAGCAAAGAAGCTATGAATGTCAACACGTCACCTATGAAGTTCACGACGAAGGTGAGCAAGAAGCAGAGTATGAAATCCACTTTTTTTCAAGATAAGCCAAGTGGAAAGTTGACTCTAAAAGAAATGCAGGAGAAAGAGTACCCATTCCTGGATTCTGATGTGCCAGCCATTTTCAAAGAACTCCTCGAGTTGAATCTCATTGAGCTTCCGGAGATGAAGCGACCAAATGAAGCTGGGAAAACAAAGATCGTGCTTGAAGATCGTGCTTGAAGATGAGAAATCAAGAGCGAACCAAGTCTCTATCACCTTTGGCTCATTCAGTCTAGATGAGTTATGCAGTTTAAAAGGAATCAAAAATGAAGAATTACTGGTGAACGACAAAGTTGAAGACGATCAACCTGATGATGATGAAGGTTGGACGTTGGTGACTCGTCGTAGGCGCCACAAAAGGTACCCACAAAACGAATCAGTAGAACAACCAACAAGGAAGATGATGGTAAAAAGACCAACAAAAAAGAATCCAGTTAGGCATTTGAAGAAAGCAAAAGTGAAGATGCACCATTCTCAAAAGCCACGAAATCCAGTGACCTTGGAGAAGTTTTTACCAAGTTGGTTCCGCACGAAGGTTTCCCAAGAGGATATCGATGCCTCTTGTTGCCATGCTGACAAAGGGGAAAAAAGAGTGATAACCTACCGTTAGAACCATCT